TAACATACCTTCGGCAGCCATTTTCTCTTCGAGTTTTTTAGCTCGCGAATCTCTCTCAACAGCTTGGGTGACAGTCTGAGCATAGAATGACTCGATGGCAAGCCTTGTCCTATTTGCTTTGTCCCTCATATACTGCGAGATAACCGGCTTTTCCGTCATTCTGGCTTAAATTGGAATTTAACAATACAGAAGTATTTCAAAGGCATCTAATGCGGAATAATGAAACCCAAATGTTAGTCTGAAGTCGGCTTGACCTCAGATGTTGCGAAAGGCTCTAAAGTACAGGCCATGAGAGCAAAGAAAATGAAGCTTAGAATCGAAGCAAATGAAAACTAAATGCATCACAACAGGTCAAAATACACAAACAGAAACCAGAAATTCTTCCACTGAGATAATTTCACTGCCTATGCCAATTTTCGCAGCTGAATATTCATGTTGATCAACAAAATGCGCGAAAATGCCGTAAAAGGGAATAAAAACTTGGCGAATATGCGTGAACTCAGCCGTTATCACAAAATTTCCTGCCAATGCAGTGCGCCTGCGCTACGGTTGCGATTAGAGCGCGTTAGCTTTTCACGAGCTCTGTTCTTGTAAGCGCTCATCCTTCTTTATGGCATAAATATTGCTTCATTCGCCCCTCAGAAATTTTTCTGTAAGGTTCTAGATGTTATCAGTAGATAAAATGTAGGGCATCGCCTTCGATGTTGCAATTGGCAAAAATTGGGGGTGTTATGGCGTCCTTGACTGAGTCATTGTGCGCGGCCGCATTAGTAGGGGATCGGCATACCATTTCGGACTCAACGAACAACACACACACGATGCCGCTGACAATGGCCGTAGTTTCCGGAGTGCAGCGTAGGGCCATGACGCGCTGACTGTGTGCAGCTCTCGTGCTATTCGAGTACGACCGGACGGCGCTGGCTGGTCCCTCCCACAGCTAACGCGCTCGTTGCCGTTGTGCTCCAGCAATGCAAGCGTTTGTCGAGGCTATTCGAGAGCAGATCTTGTCGATTCTGTCCTACGTCGATCCAAACGACGATATGAGGGAAATGGTCCACAACGCCATTCTGGATCACTGCGGGCTTTTGCAGAAGGTGAGAGCTTTAGAGGTTATTCGATTCACATCGCAAACAGGCGCATTGCTGCAGTTCAAAAACATCTACCCTAATTGAACACATACAAGGCGCGGGGGATTTTTTTCTAAAATAAACCAGCGCAAACACGCCAAAGGACTTTGTAACCAAAAGACCCTATAGCGCGCTGTGTAGTGCTTAAGAGAATCGTGCAGCATGAGAATCGTTTTCCGAAATACAGTGAATCGCCGGAGGGACTTGTTTGAAAAATCGAGAAA